GCCTCCAAGATCCCTTCGCTGGTTGGGCCAGAATCTTCTCCAGCCCTGGGCCCCAATTCTCCGTCCACCCCAACACCTCCTTCAAGGCCCAGCTGAAGCTCACTCACTTCCAAGAACTTTCTGGAATGGGATGCTCGGCCATCAGCTCCACCCCTTCCCTGACTGGCTCTGACCGGCCGGGACTGGCTCTGTGCTGCCCACCTTAGGGACCCTGCCTTCTCTGCTCGCGAGGGCCTGTGGGAGCCTGTCCAGCAGCTTTCTCTGCAGGCTCTGTCCTGGACCCTCCTGCTGCCTGGAATCGCCCCCATCAGACCAGAGTCCCCAAAGGTGTGACCAAGTCTCTCCTCTGAGAATGGGCTCCGTGAGGACAGAGACTACTTCTCCCCCAGTAGATGAGGGGTCAAGAAAAGTTGAGACAGACTGAGCTCCTCCAGCTTTCTCCCAGTCCAGGAGTTGGGACCTCCCCAGGACCCTCCCCGGAGACTGCAGCCACACAGACAGGAAGAGAGAGGTGAGCACCGAGAAGGGGGTGCTTGGCTGTTCAGAGATCCAGGAAGGGCCCGGCCACCTTGGGACTGAGACCAAACTCGCCCAGTGCCAAACCCAGCGGGAGCTGCTCTTACCACCTGCTGCCTGCGCTAGACCCTGCCCCTCTGCAGAGCACCGGGAGGCGGGAGCTAACAGGGACCTTGCTGACGCGTGCATCCTCTCCCCGCCCCTCTCCAAACCCTGGCCCCAAACATGAGACAGGCCAAGAGGAAAAGAACAAAGGTCCCCGGCCCACCACATCACCCGCCACCCGCCTGTCCAGCGCCTGCTCGGCCGGCCGGAAACCCAAGACAAAGGCCTTGGTCAAAGTGAGGAGAATGAAGGGCAAAGGGTAGGGGCGGCCAGGGGTGGGGGTGCAATGAGAGCATCACAGGCCTCTCCAGGGACCTAGCTGGGAGGGACGAGAGGACAGGACAATGCACACACACGTCACCCTGCACTTACAGGGCACCTGCTGCATTCTACACACCCCAAACAGGTGCCTCCTTCCCCTCACCGCACGCCTCACGCACACCCCCTTCCCACCTGCGGCGTCTACTGCCACCCCCTCCACCCCCCAAAGCCCTAGCTCGTCCTCCTCGCCACGCACAAACAGCTCCCAGGGAGGAAGATCACAGATCCACGCCTCAGTGAGAAGTCGCATGGCTCCCACGCGGACTTCACACCACGCTCACACGCAGGCACCACACACATTTCACGCTTACCTCCCCAAGCACAGACACACGCATCCAATTACATTCAACACACACGTGCCACCCAGACATAGACACATGCCCACACGCCCTGCATAAACGCACACCCAAATCTCACCAAAATGCCACAGGTTTGTGGGCACACACCACCCCTCGGCATGGACTATCCTGCCTACACCTCTCCCCACCCCACATGTGCCCCCACGCAGGCACACCTGACGCACCAACCCCATGGCTTGGACCCCGGGCTCTGCCTGCACCCTTTCCTATCCAGAGTTGTGCAAACCGCCACCACACAGACATGTGACATTTGAACACCAGCACGCAGGCCCCATGCCCCCAAGCAAACCCAGGTCGGACCAGTGACTCTAAGCCAGTCACTGAGACTGCAAACACACTTGGGCGCACACAGCCCCCTAACTGCTCTCTGACGGGGGACATCCAGTGGAACCCATCAGGCCCCAACAGTGGCTCCTCCTGGAAAC